CAAAGAAAGAAAGAAAGAAAGAAAGAAAAGAAAGATTTTTGAATAGTGTTCCTAAGAGAATGCGTGGTTAAAAAGTAGAAAAAATTTTAAATTTACGTACAAATATTTTATTTTATGAATGTAGTTGAAAATGATCCGTCGCAAAAAGAATTTTAAAATAATGGGCATCAAACAGGGGCTAGCCCCCATTCGACAATCATTAATATGGGGTTAAATCCATCAATGGCACTTAATTTTATGCTTAGTGTCAGTATGATCACTAAATTTGATTTTGGGAAAATAATATTATTATATTAATTAAAATATAAAATTTTACCTGATTTTTGAATAATTAAACTTTAAACTTGATTTTTGAAAATCAATCTTTAAACACCTAGATGTGTGTAATTTCCACTAAATAAAATACCGTCTATAATCGTCAATAATTTATCAGGTGATTCTAACATAAACTAACTCTTGACAGTAATTCCACTAATTGGGTGCATTATCGCACAGCCGCGATATAGCTCATTGGTGTCGACACTTGTTGAGTTAGGAGTTAATTATAACTAGTGTACGGTGCTTGGCTGTCTCCCAAACAGAATATTTCTCCTCTCAAACTCGACCAAAGGGGAGTCTTTGCTGCACTCGAAGCATAATGTGAGTAAAAATTTTCTGCCTAATATTCATCACAAAATTAATTTCACGTTTCCCAATGACAAATATTACCTATGTATTTACAAAAGTAAACATTTTGCATGATTTGAATTCGAGATGTTTTCTTACATTCTATTAAGATACTTCGATATACATGAAGTTGTAAGTTGAGAAGTTTTTTTTTAAATTATTATTTGGTTGAAGAAATTTTGATCAATCATATCTCACCACATTATGTGTATATACGCCAAGTTGTAAGTTGTAATGTATATGTAGAACAACCAATTTTTTCAATTGAAAAAAGGAAAGTGCAGTGAAATACAGACTGAGAATCATACATAATTAATTAATATAATAAAGTTTAAAATAGTCATGGATTTGTTAATTCCCAGACCGCGTCGATTTAATTAACTAGTAGAAGTGAAAAGATGGTTCATTTCTTCATGTCATTAGACAGCTTTAAGTATAAAGAAGTATGATCAGTTTCCAAAGGTTAACGTGCTTTGCACGTTATTCTGAAATGCATTATAGGCAGGGACGGATGTCGTGGAGACTGTGTCAGGATGTAGCCCGATCAAGTCCTCAGGCCGCTTTATTTTTTTTTGGTGTAAAAAAATTATGTTAAAAGAAAAAATTCATGTGTTATATATTAGCTCAACTTGTAGTACGATCCTAGATCCGTTCATATTTATAAGTATTGTAAAAGTAATATATGAAGATGTGTATATTTAAAAAAAACAATTCTAAAAAATTCTCTGTGTGAAATGAACTTTTAAATTAATGAAAATCTCTTTATACAATATATTTTGTGTGATTAGGAACATCTGATTTAACTAAAATCTTTTTAGTTGCTATAAAAATTCCCCTTGAAAGTGCAACATATAGCTGTCTGTGCGAAAATACATGTTGTGGAAGATATATTCTGACATGAGGTATTGTGTCCTCGAGCCTTGTTGATTGTCATTGCAAAGCAGGCGAACATGAAACTAATTGCATGATTTTGACCTACCCTCAAATGAGCAAAGCACTCTCATCCTCCTCTAGCAATTTCCATGTTTTTTTACTTTTTCTTTCTAGTTCTAAGAATATTTAGGTACAAAACCATGTCTGACATAAAAAATTAACCCAAAGCTGTCCAGCTTCATCATATTTTCCTGTCATTTATTGAAGCGTAAGAGCAAAAACTTATCAGTCAACTCATTTATCTTGGGAAATATTATCCTGTATAATATTTTCCTATCATTTATAGGAACCCTAAGAGGAAAAAAATTAAGTAATAGAGAATTACAAGTACATGCAAATCAAGATGTGCTTCAGCTTTGTTCTGTTCAGAGTTTCAAGCATTCCAAAAAATAAAATCAAACACCTGCCAATTGAGCACCCTCACAATTTTGTGTAATTAGTAAATCCAGTTCCTTCCTACCTGCTTAGTCCTCTCTGGCCGTTTCTCTCATGACGCTCTTTCCCATCTGCCGACTAGGGGCTGGAAGACCTAGGATCATGCTTCGAATTTAGCTCTGAGCCAGCATTCTTGTATCTTAAGATGTGACCATCACCATCCTATAGCAGTTTGAAGTAAAGTACATGAACAAAAAAATTGCAAACTGGACAAAATGAAACATAAAAGGAAGGAACAAAATTTGAGATCTATATAATCTAACTATGCATAAAAAGGATTTTCAATTACCATTTTATTTATCTCTTGCTCCAGATCCTGCCTGCTTCTCCTTCTCTTTCTTCCTTTGAATTTCATTTGTGATACGATCAGTCTCTGCCTGCAACAACCCGTGGACATATCATTAGACAAAGACACACCATGGATATAGAATATCCAAAATCTTATGGAGGCATGAGTAGATCTTATTCTTAGTTTCCTCCTCTTTGGCATCCAGAAACTGCTGTGGAACACCACTCACATTTTTCTGTGCACTCAAAAGTAGCGACCAAAGCTCTTTCATAAACTTCCCAGTATTTCTTTCCATGAAACCAATAAGTTGAATTTGAACATCCTTCCCATTAACTAATTGACAGTTTAGTTTAATTACAGTTTAAATGAAAGTATACACCCTTTCAGTTGCTTACGTGGTTTGGCAATGGAAACAGTTTGTCAATAAAGAACAACATGGTTAAAATACCTATATTTATCTAGTGGAGAATCAATTAGTATTAAAAATTCCAGTGTAACCAAAAACAAAAGCATTTTATACAAAAACTTTGCACATAGGCAATGATGAATCAACATGGTCATACTTTCTAGTTTTGAATAGTGAATAAGAGACTGAGTCTGTGGCGAATAAGAAACTCCGATGTTATATGTGTCCACAAATGGAGTTTATCAGAGCCTGTGTTGGCTCAATCTTTACTTTGTAAATTTGAGTGATAAATTATACTCTAATTATAAGTATTTCCGGATTAGTTACTCCCCATAATTCCCCCTGCATTAAGTAAACTTCAATACAAGCCATCAAATCTTGGCAATTTCACACTTCGATATTCCTATTAATAACAGCACAAAAAATTGAGTGGCAAAACAAGACGCATATTCTCCAGTTATAAAACCAATTGTTTGTTATTAAGGAACAAGAACCCAAAATTAATCAAATCAAACACAAGGGTAAAGGTCACCAGAAATGAAGTGTAAAGGACTCCTTCCAGCACCATGGGGCCTTGCATTCGATAATCATTGTATGTATACCCCTCCGGCACCATGTTATGTTCCAACTTCTAAGCCTATACTCCAAGGATGACACAGGTTTCATCAAAGTAAATGTTGACTATATTGAGTTCCTACACAAACATCTTCTTACAGTAATCTTACTCCATTACTAAAAAACCTCATCCTCATATTTCACTCTATATTCTACAGCATAAAAACCGACGGAACAAAATTAAATGTAATAACTATGATAGTAAAAGCTGGACATTAATGCATTCCACCATACCTGTCATTCAAAAATAAGGCATGCAGTTCCAAAATGGAACTCAAATAATAAGTCAGGTAAATTAAGGCAGGAGACTAATTCATCCACATTCATTTGTACTATTCAGTCACGTCCACCAATGCGTACCAAAACATGCCTTGATGGTCGTATAGAATTACATTTAATAAATATGGTAGTAAAAGAAAGAAATCAATGTTTTCCAACATACCTGATACCACAAAACAAAATATTATATAATTTATATTC